GGTCCCCTGCGGAGCCCGGAGCACGTAGGTTCAGCCGTAGCACAACGTGCTGGTAACGGTCAACCTGTCCCAACCGACTCCTGGCAGACACCCTTCGGCCTCCTCAGAGTGTTCAGCGTTGTCATCCCTTTCCTGTACGTCGGGACTCAGATCAGTAAGAACTTCGCAGCCCTGCTTGAAGAACATGATATCTTTGTCCCAGAGGATGACGACGACGATGATTAAAGGGTATGTCATTAACATCACCAGCAATCTAATTATTCATGCTTCCTGTTTGGCTTGGGGCAGGGAGGAGAATCTCGGACTAGGAAATACAGACAGCGACAGCTTGAAAGATGCATTTGCAGTTGAACACACGGACACAGTATTGCCTCTGGCTACAAACTCTTCTGTTCTTTTATACCCTAGTAGGCCAGACCTGTATCTAAGTGTGAAATCTCCACAACATACATTCATTAGAGGTTGGAATAAACTGATGGTGCTTGAGATCTTGTCATTTGAATAGTAAATAAACTGTAGTCAGTGAGGGTCTATACAGCAGACAGAGAAGACAGACTGCAGTGTTATTACATTACATGCCCAAAGAAGGGCAATGAAGCTGGTGAGGGGTCTGGAGCACAAGTCTTATAAGGAGCGGTTGAGGGAACTGGGGTTGTTTAGTCCGGAAAAGAGAAGGCTGAAGGGAGAACTTACTGCTCTCTACAGCTACCTGAAAGGAGGTTGTAGTGAGGTGTGTCTTGGTCTCTTCTCCCAAGTGACAAGCAATAGGATGAGAGGAAATGGCCTCAAGTTGCACCAGGGGAGGTTTAGGTTGGAAATTAGGAAACATTTATTCACTGAAAGGGTTGTCAAGCATTGGGACAGGCTGCCCAGGGAAGTGGTGGAGTCTCCATCCCTGGAGGGATTTAAAAGATGTGTAGACATGGTGTGTAGGGACAGGGTTTAGTGGTAGACTTGGCAGTGTGAGGTTTGTGGTTGGACTCAATGATCTTAAGGGTATTTTCCAACCTAAATGATTCTGTGATTCTGTTCTATATATTCACCTGTTTAAAAGTTTTCTGCTAATTCACAGAATGACTGCTTTAAAAGAGAATCACTTACTGTCTGAAATACTGATACAGAGGTGAACAATTTAAGAGAATCTAGAACCCATCAGAACAAACTGTCTGGTCTTACACCACTGATCTCTGGAGTAGCTGGACCATTCAGACTCACTGGATAAAGGCAGTGCACTACACTGCACTACACTTTCACCATTTTATAACAAAGCATTTGGCTTAACCTTGTGTAAAGATTTGAGTTTGGGTGTATTTGACTTTATAGAACAAAGTAGCTGTTTTAAAGAAGTTGTTGTAAGTAGTGTTGCTTTATAATCAGTTTGGTGGACGTGTTCCATTTGATGAAAAGGATTTTCCAGCATGCACTGTGCAGCTAAAAACAAAGAATTGAAAGACTGTAAAGACTACAACGGCCTGTGAGAAACTCCTTTCATGTAAACCCCCTCTTTATGTGGTTTGAAGGGAGGGTATGGACTGGAGCTCAGTACAGTATATCTGAAGAGTAACAGCTTATTATTCTATTTGCAGAACTGCAATGGAAGAACAGAAGGGAGAAAGCCATTGACAAAGCAATGGCTCCAGCATGTCACCTGCATTTTGTCCTTCCTAAATGGGACGGGGGAGCTCTGTATCCCCCTTGCCAGTGAGTGTCCTGCGCATGTCTGTGTGACGGAGATCTGTAGATCAGGGTTGAAGTAAGTGCTTGATAGGCCCTGCATCCTTGCACACACACACTCACCTCATCAAAGACTGCTTGGGACTCCTTTTATTAGCAATATGGGAAACACTTAATTAAAGATGATTGAGATACATGACTTTGGTCTTGTGCTTTCACAATTATGTGCCTTTGTCCCAGCATTTCTGTCTTAACCTTTCTCCTTCCATATATCTGTTCCAGTAGGGAGGCTCTAGTCTTATTTATTTCCTCTTATGCGTCCTTTCTGTAATTAACTACTAATCTACAGTACGTGACAGGAATCCTAGAGGAAGCAGCAGCCCCACAACACAGCCCCATTAAAATAATGGAGTGCATATTGACATTGGCACTGCAGTTCAAATAATACTGATTTACAACCTAGCAGGTGTATCTGATGGAGACTGTATCATTAATTTAACTTCACTGAGGATTAAACACAGAATTACCACTGCAGAGTTACAAGTTTTGAGTCACTTTGTTAAGATCAGGAGTGGCAAACTAGCTCACTGATGTGTTTTATCACATTTAATCTCTGAACAGGGAAAATCTCTGAATGCTCTGGCTCCAAGTACCAAGTATTTCCTAGGAATACTTGGTACTTGGAGTACCAATACTACATTTGGAGTACCAATACTACACTGGGTAGTTCAGTAATTCCTTCTGTATGAGCCCTAATATATTTATTTTCTTAACTGTTTATAAACTTCAACTCTTCTTTTCACAGAAAGAAAGTACTTCACAGAAGTACTTACTATTGCAATTAAATCCTTGCATAACAGACTTTAAAAGTTTTCTCTGTTTCTAGGGCAGGCATAGAGTATCTTCAGTCACATCAGGGCAGCTGCTTTCTCAAATACTTTGAAAGGTTAAAGTCAAATGATTTTTTGTTTGTTTGTTTTTAAGACAGCATTGCCCCAGTGTCTCTCATGGTTTGTGGTGACGAGATCTGGCTTCTTACCTTGACGGCCTGCTCTCCCCTTCAGTAGTCATGTAGCTGTTAAAAAGTTTCTTTTAATGCTGTACACATCAGCACAGTGTATATGTCAAACAAACACATTTTCTTCCTTATTGTTTATCACTGTGCCTTTGATGTTTGCTCTGTAATTCTCTGCAGTAGCTACTGAGAGAAAAAGGAGCCTGCAATATGAGTGACCCCAAAGAAGAAAGCTGCAGTATTTAGGCCATGGTAAAAAGAAGTCTGAGTGTACTACAAAGATTCGGTGTTGATCATACACGAGGGAGCTCCAGCACCAACTGCCTGCTGAAAACCCATTCTGGCTGGTGAAAGAACACACTCTCCTTACCCTTCTCCAAAGTGAGCTAATAATTCCTGATTCGATTAAGGAGGTCATGGTAGGACACCACCTTCTGCTAGGCATCAGAAGCTCTTACAGAGCCTCTCTGTTCTAGACAACAGTACAAACCCCCACTTTTCCAGGTAATTTTGTTTTACAGCAGGGAAATGGACTCTGCTGATCTTTTTATTGCACAAAGGGTTTTATTTGCCTATTGGATTTTACGCCATTCTCTGTGAGGACGTAAACAGAGACTAGTGTCCAAGTAAAAAACACAAGGTCAACAAAGTCATAGTATGAAACTGCAAAGCACTGCACGAATACAGATGAGCCTCAAGCACAAGAACATTTCTGCTGCTACACTGGCTTTTCTGAAAGAGCTGACACCTGTGCATGGGGCTGCAGAAAGCCCCACAGCCAGGTTGTGTTGTGGTTATTCAGCAGACACTCCAAGGCAAGAGACAGGACAAACTCTATCCACTGAAAAGGCACACTGGCAAAAGCCAGGAAATCACAGTTCTTCACACAGATCGTAACCATTTGCACACACTCTGGATTCAGAGTTAGTCATTAGGCTCCTAATATGCTATACAGTCTTTCTGTACAGAATTTTTTTCTACTGTATAGAACTTTATTTGTAATACAAGGCAGGAAGACACAGAGTCAGTCTCTCAAGGATCATGACCCGCATAGAATTTGGACAGAAAGTCTTTAGGTCGTGGGGTTTCCGTCTCATGGAAATACCTCATGACGTGAGTCCTCTGCTTCCATACCTGGATGGTTTCTTGAAGTTCCATTTTTCCCTGGGCGTGGACAAAAGAATTTTAGATTAGTTTTCAAAGCCCAGTTCTAACTATACAGCACTATGGAAGTTACTTGAATGCACTCAGAAACACCCTTAAAGACTGTCTGCATCACCTGTACTGTGACACAAACATATATACTGTTCCTGCCTTTTGACTTGAATGCTTCATGTGCTCTATTAACAAGTCACTTGTCTCTACAGTGCAGCCTCCCAGCCCTGTGGAATAGGCAAGGGACCTCCCCTTTCTTGGAATGTGGCTTGTTTCTCCCATGACCAGCACCCCCATAAAAGTCAACATAACATTCCTAACTTTCATGCACCTCTACCTATTTTTTATTTTTTTTTAAATAGTGGCAAGTAAGCTGTAAAACCATGTAAAAGTGCTGCCAAGTGCTCTGCACCAGTATCAGTACCACAGAGATATTAAATATAACTTCTTCATTACTCCAGTCTGTGAATTATTGCACTGGTTTTGGAGGATGGCAGCACAGGGCAGAATGGAACTGTCACCTACCATATTATCTAGGATTCTGTTTCCAGATTTTTTTCATCATATAGAGACAGACCAGCTGTCTTCAAGTGCAAGAAATCCAGCCAAGGACTGCTGTGCCCATCTGCTGGAAGCTTTTCAGTGCAGTAGAACTGCAAAGGTCAGTTACAGATGCTCAGACCCATTTTGAAACCTTGCCCTACTCTTGGCATGTTGGTGATTGCACTGAACCAGACCTAACCAGATGTGTGACAGACTCAAGATGTTTTTGCACCCAAAGCCAGCCACCCCTCAAGTACTGCCACTCTAATGTACATTTCAGAATCAGTGAAGAAAACCACATCCCAGTTTAAGGAAGTCCTATAGGGAGTAAAAAGGTCATTTTTAATGGTAAACTAGCTAGCAGCATCTTTTTCCCCTTTCTCTGATTGCCACTGTTGTCTAAAAAAACCCAAAACATAGTATTTAAACTACTGTTTTGCTTGCCATACACTTCCTCTTTTAAACATCTGCAAACTGGAAGAGCCACTGAGTGACAGAAATCCATATTCTAACAGCTCTTGACTTTGGTGAGTTAAGACCCTATTCCTCTGTATGCTAAAGCAGCTTGATCCCTTACCAACAGTTTGTTGACAGAGATAAACCAATGTGGATTGCAAGAGACAATTCCTCCACAGCACAAGCTGAGATGAAACTCTCCTTCTCCTCCATCACACTCACCACCAATTATCTACTCTCACATTCTGTGCAGCTTCAGCAAAAGGTGAATAACTTGTTGGTACCTTAATAACCAGCATGTCTATCACCCGTGGATCTGTAACGTGGGCGTTCTTCATGAACATCTCCCGCACCTTGTTACGCCCCTGTTTCACCGTGATGTCCAGCTGGTACAGGTGTACTAGGAAAAAGAGAACACCCACAGAAGTCGTCATCTACGTTGCTTTTCACTTTTATCACTGCCAATGCACAACTGAACCCTACAAAACTCTGCGTGGTCATTTGTTCTTGCCAGGTCTGCCACCTTTGCCAATGCAATTAACGTAAAGCAAATAAACAACGCAGACGTGGTACTGCGAGTCCCAGCACAATTCTAAGGAGGCAGACAATCGTGCCGGGCATCCCTGTTCCGGAAAACGAAAGCTCAGACGTCTCTTCTGCTGAGTCAGGCAAAGCCAAGCACCAAGTCGGGCGTCAGGAGACCGGCATGCTG